AACACAGACTGCATTATGAAATGTTCTCTTATACATGACACTTAATTCCAATCTTTTTCTCCACTAATCACAGACACACTGGCCCTCGAAGTTAGGAAGTTAATTGTGCAGCTATGTGGCATGTCAGTTGTAGATGTCGGCTTCAGTGACCCGACAAACAGAAAGTTGTTAGTGCGTGAAAAAGACCTCACTAGAACAGCTGAATATGAAATCTTTTAGTCGCACATGAGTAGGGGACATTCCATTAAAATTCCAGCGTTCCAGCTTTCCTCGGTTCCAAGTTAGCAATTTTTTCGCCAAAAGTCTCAAGCGCCCGCATATGGGTCCCAGGCACTTCTAAACTGCTGATTTTGGTCGTACGTAAGTAGGGGACATTCCCCTAAAGTTCCAGCTTTCTAGCTTTTCTCGTTTTCGTGTTAACAGTTTTCGCGCCATAATTTTCACGCGCCCGTACGTAAGTCCCGGGTAGTCCTGGGCAACTGAATTTGAAATCTTTTTGTTATACATAGATAAGGAACATTACCCTAAGCTTTTCTCGTTACCGAATTAGCAATTTTCCCGCTGGAACTTTCGCGAGGTCGTACATGACCGGGGGCATGCCTGGGGGCTGAGTTTAAAATCTCTAATTTGTACGTGGGCTGGGAACATCTGTTGGAAATTCCAGCTCCACAGCTTTCCTGGTTCTCGAATTAGCCACTTTCCAGCCAAAAAATTTCACGGGGCTGTACGTAAGAATCATGCATGCCTGGGGGCCGAATTTGGTAATTTTAAACTCTACATAGGCTGGAAAAATCCCCTTAAGATTTCAGCCTCCTAGTCTTCCTGATTCTCGAGTCAGCCATTTTCCAGCCAAAAAATTTCCCTGGGCTGTATGCGAGAATTATGCATGCTTGGGAGCTGAATTTGATAAATTTATGTTGCACATGACCTGGAAACAAAGATTTCAGCCTCCTAGCTTTCCTGGTTCCGGAGTTAGCAATTCCTCCCGCCAAAATTTTTTCATATGTGAGAACCATGCATGCCTGGGCACTGAGTTTAATAATTTCAAGTTTTACATGCGCTGGAAGCTTCCCCTAAAAATTTCAAAATCCTAGCTTTCCTGGTTCCCAAGTTAGCGATTTTCCCGCCAGGAACCCTCACGGGGCCGTACGCGGGAACCACGCACACTTGGGGACTGAGTTTGAAACCTTTGAGTTCTATGTGGGTGTGGAACATAATCTTAAAATTTCAACTTTCTAGATTTCCTGGCTCCGGAGTTAATGACTTCCCCGCCAAAAATTCCACCCTCTTGTATGCGCGGCCAGACTTGCGTGAGGGTTGGTACCACGGTCCTGAGTGTGGCACTTGCCAAGAAACCCACTGGCAAAATTTTGGTGCAGCTTGGTTGCCGAGTTGAAATACCCGGACACTCGCACACACACACACGCACACACACCGGGGTCGACCCAGTATGCGCTTTTGTATGTAGTTCTGTGTGTATGTGTCTGTATGTTTGTGTGTGTTCGTCTGTTTGGATACTTTAACTCGGCACCTAAGCGAGCTCCGGCGCCAAAATTTTGCCAGTAGTTTTCCTGGTCAAGTGCCATCCCAGCGGAACGCGGTAACAACTCTCACACATGTCTAGGCCCCGCGTGTGAGCGCGAGAAAATTTTGACCAGAAGGTTGCTAACTCGGAAACAAGAGAAGCTAGAAAGCTATAATTTTGAGGTTATGTCCCCATCCGCATGGTTTATGTCCCCTAAAGTTTCAAATTCAGCCGCTGGTGAGCATGGATTTTGTGTACGGCCTGTGGGGGTTTCTGACGGGAAAATCGCTAAAATGGGAACCAAAAAAAACTACGAGGCTGAAATTTTAAGGGGATGTTCCTAGCTCATGTGTAACTTAAAGTTATCAAATTCAGCCCTCAGGCATGCGTGGTTCTCACGTACGGTCTAGTGAAAGTTTTTGGCGGGAAAATGGCTAGTTCCGGAAGGAGGAAAGCTGGAAGGCAGAAATTTTAAACAGATTTTCCCAGCCTACGTACAACTTAAAGATTTCAAACTCAATCCCAGTTATGCCCCTAGGTCACGTACGACCCTTAGAAGTTTTTGCAAGAAAACTGCTAACTCAGGAATCAGAAAAGCTGGGAAGCTGAAATTTTAGGAAAATGTTTCCCGTCCAAATAAAACTTAAAGGTTTCAACCTCCAGGTACGCGTGGTTCTCGTGTGCGGGCGCTTAAATTTTTCGGTGGGGAAATTGCGCGTTGAATACTGGGTCATTTACAAAAAACGACCGCTAAATGGAAATTGATTGTTTTCGTTCATGCAAAATTTACGACGATTTACGGTATTGAGCGCCTAAGGTGGGTATGAAGCAACAACTATTCATGAAGTTAACCTAATTACTTCAAACTTGGTGCGAAAACGCATGATTGCATTGGTAAGGTTGATGCGTTCCAGCCTGGGTTGCATTTACATATAAGCAAAGACGCATAATAATATACCGTGTTCGCAAGCGAAATGTAGGCTCACTTCATCAGCGATGCAAAAAGCCCAAAGAAAACTGAAGAGCACGAAACTGACCATTATGCCTGGTAGTTATTTTTGTATGAAACAGGTTGACCTGAATTTGGCGCTCATTGTAGAAATATCTCTCGTTCGTGCCGACAAAACTGTTAAGCTAAGAATTTCCAAATCGCTAAGATTTGGAGCGTTTCGATGTTAGTCTATGCTCTGTGGATCAAGCACAGCCCCCTCGCAGTATTTCTCATTTTTCCGGCGCATGCGCTACCTTTGGTCAATTTCGTTCTCACAAGCACCACATACTATCTAATTGGACTTGAAATATGATCGTGAGCAATCTTTTTTTCTTTTCCTTCTTCCCTAATTGAAATATTTCAGTGAAGTTAAGGTCGAGTATGGAATATAGGGGTTTGATCGTTTGTCTTACCGTCACATGCATAATTTATGAAAGATTAACCTCAAAAACTGAGCTGTACGGCTACTTACATACAGTGACAGTGTGGCAGTCTGTGGCAGCAAAGCCAGCCGAATGTCACTCGCCGCTGCCTGTAAGCTTTTCATCTGCTTCATTCCCTTACATTTAGCTGCACCCAACAACCACTCATTTCTTAGCAACGATGCGCCACATCAGCCATTCTCCGAAACCATCCCAGTCATTTTTCCCGGAAGGAGCAGTTATCTGTCTCGTCCAGATGCGTCTTCCAGAAATCTAGCAACAGATAAGTCAGATGCAGGATTCGTCGAAAATTTCAAAACTGATCTTTCCAGTGTTGAAAAAACGCTTTGTCATCGTCAGTTGGAACGGACCATTGAAGAATGGTTGAAAATGGATATCGTCAGTTCTGGTCAAAGTTCAAACACCAATGAGAACGTACCCACCCAGCAAGGTGTGATGGACTTTGAAGCTGTGCTTTTCGCAGCCAGACCGGGTGCTGTCCAAGCTGCAGCTACAACTTCAGATGTTTACAGTGACCAATCAGAACTGTGGAAATCGAGATTTAGTAGAGATACATTTAAAGCTTTGATTTCTAGAAACGCTCAATCCAGTGGGCTACAGGCGGCTGCTGATTTGGAGCAGCTGGAACACATCCAGCAGGAGCCCATCGCTTCCCGCGGCACGGCAGCGCTACGCAGCAATCCACTTTTTACCTACGTTGCAGCACAGCTTCCTTCAGATCCAGTGGATTCATCCAGAAATAATCGTGTGTCGGGAGATTTCTCTTCGATTTCTTCCACTCAGGTTAACAGTAAATCAATTTCAACACTTCTGCAAAGCCTCACCACTGATAAACTCGAACCATATGCAACTTCCCTGTACAGTCCTGCCAGCGGATCAGATGTATTCTCCATGCGAAGACTTATCGATCAAGAACTTGAACCGAATTCATTTCTTACTACAGATCCTTGTAGAGCAGAAGGTGCTTCCGATTGCAAAACAGTGTTAAACCTTGCTCTCATAAGAAACTCTGCTGCCTGTAATCTTGTGTCAGATACATCAGCCAAATACACTCTCAACAGACTACCAGAAAAAAAATCAGGAGGTAGTACTTTGATATGCAATAATCCGATTCCGCCTGCCGTGAATCGTGTACCAATTTCTAATCCGAGTGTGACTGCGCCACTACATTTTATCACCAAACAATCGACCAGTTCCAAAAAACCAAACAAAAAACCAACCAGTCCCGAAAAACTAACCACATCGCGGTCTGTTCCTACCCAAACCTCTGTTCGAACTGAGTTGACCGCAGCTGCACCGGGCGGACCAATTCACACTGCGCAAACAAGCAATAGCACGAAGTCAACCAATGGGTTCACCTGCGGAAGATGCGGCAAGCTATTTTTTGTCTACGTCGCTTTTAAAAAACATCTAAGCAGCCATAACAAGGAAGGCGAATACCGATGCAACTGGCCCGACTGCAGCATTCTCGAAAAAAGCTGCGGACGCCTCTCACGCCACTATCTGGAACATTTGCCGGCGAATGATTTATACTTGTGTGAAGTTTGCGGTAAAATTTACAACAGCTGGCGTCTTTTCACCTCACACAAGCAATCAGTGCACACGAAAGGTGAATTTTGTTTCCGAAAATAATAATACTTTTGCGACTCAAAATTAAACGCTAGTCACTGAGTCTCATCAAGAAGCAAGGAGGTACTCATCCTAAAAAGTGCGCTGCACCCTCTGAGAAGAACGTGCTCAAGTTTATGCCGCTTAAATGAAAATCCAGCACACCATGAGATAGGACTAACATAGCAGCATACTGGCCAAAGTAATCGCCCACTGGCAAGGCTTTCCATGGTCTCCTGTTCCGAACTTCTCTGAGAGGTGGTCAGGAACTAGCTGTCTGCTGTTTTTCTTCTGTAGCATCAGTACCATTTTCTCATCGAAACAAATTATGGAACGATTTTTTCTCAGCTGAGGCACTGAACCATCAATCTTCAGTCTGTCCATCGCGCAACTTAAAACAGCAATGCGTCAGCCTTAGAAGGGTCCAGGACGAAGTCCTGGAGGAGGGGACGACGGTGCCGGGGAGCGGGGGAGGGGGAGAAGTGGGAGAGTAGAAATCCTAGAGGGGCAACGGGGGTGGGCGGAAGGGGAGTGCCTCTCCCACCCTTGAACAATGCAAGAACTAGAAGTGGAGTGTTACAACTCTAAATAACAGTGTTGAAACTGCTATTTAGAGTTACTTTAGTTTTATTTATGAACAGACGCGAGCTTTTGCAGCACTGATGCATGTGCCGCCGGGGGGAGGTGGCAAGTAGGGGGATGCAAATGAACTCATTAAGTTATACTGGGCTGGGAACATCCCCTTAAAGTTTCAGCCTCTCAGTTTTCCTGGTTTCTGTGTCAGCGATTTTTTAGCGAATAACTTCCATGTGCTCGTACGCAGGGCCCAGGCGTGTGTGAAGGTTGATACCACAGACCTGGGGTGACACTTGGCCATGGGACCCACTGGCAAAATTTCAGCGCGGAAGCTAACTTGATTGCCGATTTGAAGTACCCGCACACACACCCATACACACGAACACACACACGCACACATACACATACACACACGCACACGCTCACACCATGAACCGTCATAATATGCGTTTTTGCATCTGCATAAAGGCATAAAAATAGAGTTTAAAAGCACCGATTTCAGAGTTAACACTAACAACTATTTTGCAACAAGATGAAGGTAATCAATCCTGCTGCTTTTTCCCACAAACAACATTCTATTCAGTCGTACTGTTTGACTTCAATAGATACAAATGTTCACAAACTCAGCGGACTGATTCTCGAGTATCGTGCAGAACTGGATAAATACGCATTCTTCTCTTACTTTGTCCTTCCGTAAATTTAAAGTCCTACTTTTTTCACATTTGTCACAAGTTTACTTAACAGACTCCGTAGA